AATAATAACAATAATAATAATAATAATAATAATAAAAATAATAATAATAATAATGCTAATAATAATAATAATAATAATAATAATAATAATAATAATAATAATAATAATGATAATAAAAATAATAATCAAACAGCGATTATCAACGTGGACAGACCATCTCTTCCGATCTGCCGTAATCACGATCGGGGCTGTGTCGTGCCTGAAGGTCGGTGGTCAAGGGCCCCGCCAAATTACTATCTCTCTGTCCCTCTCACATACACACACACACACACATGTACACACACATACGTACCCAGTCCGCATACACACTTACGTACACAAGCTCATACTCACACACGCATACACACATTTATGCACGCATGCATGGCCACACACTCATGCGTGCTCATGCACACATACATGTTCAAGTCTAGGAGTGCATCTCTCCATATTCCATTGGCAGATTCGTTCGACTTATATCATCCTATCGTTGGAAGTAGTATCGTGAGGTAACCGCGAGAACACACACTCACACATACTCACTCACACACACACACACACACTCATAGGGTAGTAGTGAATCTTTCCACGTTCTAGTGATAGATTCGTTTGTTTTTATTCTATTTTATTTATTTATTCATTTAATATATATATATATATAGGTAAGTCGTGCTATTGAAGACTTACTCGTTCTCTCGACTTCGTCGTCGTTGCTCGAGTCGTCGTCGTTGCTCGAGTCGTCGTCGTTGTCACTGTCGTCGTCGGATGCCGCAATCGCGCAGTCAAGTAAGTGCTCTTCTTCCCTTCCTCCTCCTACTCCTCTTCTTCTTCTCCTTCCTCCTTCTCTCTCCTTCTCATTCTTCTCCTTCCTCTATGTTTCAATGAGTTTTCCACAGTACCCCCAGCGGAAAAACGCCGAGATCACCGCGATCCCAACACTTCACCGGACCATTCAATCGGTAGGAGCAACGCAGGTATGTATACAGGGCGGGGTCATAATCAGCGCGAGCTGATGACTCGCGCTTACTAGGCATTCCCTGTTCAAGATTAATAATTATAACAATTTGTCCCCCTCCCGATGAACCTCTTTCCCTTCTCCCTCTTCTTCTTTTCTCCCTCTCTTCCCTCGTCGTCTTCGTCACGACCACTATCTTCGTGGCAGCCTCCGCAGTCGTTTCCACAAGCGATAGCCCACACGATCTGGTAAGCGCTCTCCCTCTTCCTCTCCTATGCCTCCTCCTTCTTGTTCTTCTTCTTCTCCCTCTCACGTTCTGTCGTTTTCCGCGTGATCTTCCGCTTTCTCTGGTCTAATCGCAATATGTCCTCCCCCGCTTTCGGTCACTTCTCTCTTTTTTCTCCTTGCCCTTGCTCCTAGTTCGTTGTCCCCCGAGTCGGACCTCCACGGCGTCGTGTTGTAGCCTTCAGTGGCTAGCTCGTCTGTGATCCCAACTCACTCCTTGACTGAACCTACCGTGATCTCAGCGGTAGATTCACTCAGGCGAGGTTATGTGGGATTTCTGACCACGGGGCCTAAAAAAAACGAAATCTAACTAAAAGAAAAAAATAAAAGAAGAGAAAAAAAAGAAAACAAAAAGGATCTAACTCCTAACTACCCCGTTGTGGCAACTGTCACAACGGGGTATAGTCGTACCTAATTTCAATTTCGAAGTCACGGGATCGAATCCCGACTATTTGTGGGCGGACGAAAAAGGTAGGCCCCGCCCCTTTATGCTAGCAAAAGGAGCTAGCCCGAAGGCAGGTCGGGCTCGATCCCGAGATCTTCTACGTATCAGTCAATACATGTACCTACTGGGCTAGCTTCATGTTTGGTTCTTCTTGGAGCTAGTCTGCCCTAAGTAGAGTACAGGGCTTAGTCCAGCCAGTCCATAAGGCCTGCGGTCTACCGTAAGGGAAATCCAGGCCATTGTAGGTCATCGCAGCCTATTACAGTAGGTTGTGCCCCTTTTGCCTAGTCGCCCCGGCCACATGGTCGGGGTCTTTTATTAATTTTTACCTTTATTTTATCCTACGGGGAGCGGTTTCCTGCCCCGCTTTTTCCGATATGCTCGACGTCTGCGGACTTGAGCTGAAATGATCATACTTCCCTAGTCGTTAGCTTGACTGAGGAAAATCGTCGCCGCGTCCCTCGCGATCTTTTCCGTTTCAACTAACCCTCCGTCCTTAGTGGTCGGAGGTCTTACTTACTAACCATTTTGCAGTCTCCGTTCGTGCCGGAATGGGGTGCGGGGTCATTTCATTTACTAACTTCTGTCGTCTTTGCATGTTCTGCGAGTATTTGAAATTTTCAACCCCTAACTCTTGTCCGCGTGTACCGTGTTTTGGCCTTTGCGGTTTCTAACTTTTATGACCATAATGGTCGAGGGTTTTACCCCAGTTTCTGTTTTTAGCCGATCCCATTCTAACAGTTGGTGTCGACATTATGTCGACTGTAAAATCATGAGCGAATACTCTTGTAAGGGTATCAACTCCGACAACGGTAGAGAAGGAGACTCGTCCGAACTTGTGAAAGCAAGGGAGGAACTGGCCGCACTACAAAACAAATTCGAAAACATGGGATTCGTGGCCGGACCCGTTACGTATGTAGAGCAGGTAACACTGAGGACCGCACCCCATGGAGCGATTGTAGATAGGCAGATCCCGGTAATGGCGTCCCCAACCGTAACTCGGCCACCTCCATCGCCACCCACCATCGAGTCACCCGCAAAAACGAACGAGTCTACTGCTATCTTGGAGCTAACTAAAACATTGGTTAGTTTAATCCAAGAAAGCAAGAAGGAACAGCGAGAACACAACGCCCGATTAGAAGCTATGATGCGGAATATGCGACTCATTGCGGTGCAAGCACCAATGCAGGGAGGCATGACTGCTGCACAAGTGGCAGCGGGGCCAGCCGGGACAGCGACAAATGCCTGTTTTACATGTCATCAACCGGGACACTTGGCCCGAGATTGCCCCCATCGTGCCATGCACGCCCCGAGTCGGGATCGCGCCTGCTGCTGCAGCTCCCATAGCTAACGGCCCAGGACGTGTAGGAGCTGTGATGGATGATCAGGGGGGAAGTACGAGAATGATGATTTCCGGTGAGGAAGCAGCTGAGCTTATCCCGCTGGAGCAGTACGTATCACTAGGATACCCGAGGCTGGGAATGATTGGGACAATTCGACCGGAACTCGAGTCCAGGGATGTCGCAGAATGGCGGTCTTCGTCGAGCGAAATGGAGACGGGAGGCCCTACCTTTGTTAGAGGAGAAATCGATGTCCTTGAGGTCACTCGAGCACTGGATCATCGAATCCCTCTCCCAATCGGCCACCTACTCTCCATCTCGGAACAGGCGAACGAACACATGATGCAACATTGCAAAGCGAACCGGAAGCGATTCGCTCTTGCCCGCGCAAACGAACAGAAGGCGAAGGCGCCGCCTTCGGAGGAAAAGGCGGACGTCGCCCCTGATCCCATCCGAGTCGGATTAATACAAAAAAAATGACCACTTTCTTCGGATCAAGCCGATTCCATGGAAGTCGGCCGAATGTGATATTGAAGTCTGGGGAATGTCGTATAGTGCGATCATAGATTCGGGAGCGGTTGTCCTAGCGATATCACTACGAGTAGTCGAGAGAGCGGGTAGGAAGAATGATTTGATTATGCTAACCGAGAAGGACCAGCTCGTATCGCCTGACGAAGAAAAGATCAAGACAGTAGGACGTATGACGAATGTCGCGTTCCGATTGGGAAAAGCGCATGCTTTAGGAGATGTTGTGGTGCTAGACGTGAATACATATGACGTTCTGTTCGGGCTTCCTGCATTAGTGGCGCTGCGTGCTAATTTGGACTTCGAACGCCGATCCGTCATTCTCCGGAATACCGGGGGAAAGCCGTATGTAATACCCATGAGACTAACTCTTCGAACGACGGTTAAGGTAGTACCCCGAATTTCTTCGGAAACAATGGGAGCGCTCCGCATGGTCTCCTGGAATGCACTTGTGGACGGAGGTCAATCATCGAACGACGTGTGGAGCAACGACGATGACGACCCACTCGTTACGCGGTTATTACGACAGCAGATTCACTACCCGCCGCCTCGCACTATTGCACGCACCATGCATCTAACCACACGAAATGCTTATATGTTGATCATGGGAGAACCCCTCGTACAGATTTCGAGGCTGGTTGATTCCTTGGAACCCCCTCGGACCCTGTACGAAGGCGTATCTCCCCTCCTCCTTCAGTACAGTGACAAGCGTTCCTTTTGTGATCTCACTGGCTTACCTCGATCCCTGCTTCAGCCCGCCAGAAAAGTTCAGTTGTTGCGTTTGGGAGCCGAAGCAGGTTCTTTGGAACCCCCTCAGCACATCGAGGCAAGATCCGATGAATTCGGGATCAAAATCTCGCCTAAAAACGTGCTGTGGCGAGACATCTGCGACAGGATACCCGAAGGTCATACAGCGATCAGGGAGGAGGAAGCACAGATGGTGGCCACTGTGTTTTCTTGGAGATCGGATCACTCTTTTATATCTGCACCGCCCGACACTACTCGGCGTATACACACGAAGCAGGTTAACGTTCGGATTTTGGATCAGATATATGAATTGCATGTGCCCCAGTATGTACCTGATGAGATCCATCGGTTGATCGCTGATATTTTAATAGAATATTAAGGGGCGATTAGCGTGTCCGACGCCGATATTGGATTATCCGTGGTCGTTCATCATGAGATTCAGACCGGGAATCATTCCCCGATCCACCGCAAGCCGTACCGATACTCGTTGACAGAGCGCAAGACGGCCTTGCAGCGAATCAGGGAATTTGAGGCAAACGGATGGATTGAGCCTGCCACCGATCCCCGGTCGTTCCCAGTTGTGTTGGTTCCTAAAAAGAACGGGTCAGTCCGCATATGCATCGATTATCGAAAGTTAAATGATATCACGATTAAAGATGTGTATCCCCTTCCCCGCCTACCACGTTTCAGCTGGCGATGAACGTGACTTTTCAGAATTTTGTCAATAAGACGCGGCTGATTCAGGGGATGATTAACTTCTGTGTCATTGTGTACATGGATGACATTCTGGTGTACTCGGACACGTTTCACGGACACGTGCAACACATCGAGTGGACGTTGGGTGCGTTGAGAGACGCAGGTTTCAAGATTGCGCTGGAGAAGAGCGAGTTTTTCCTCCCGGAAATCTCGTTCTTGGGGTATGTGGTGACACGTGGAGGCCTGCGGCCGAACTCTCAAAAAGTCGCGGTGGTCAAAGAGGCCCCGGTTCCGACCTCGCTGACGCAGGTTCGAGCCTTTTTGGGTTTGGCCTCGTATTACCGGCGGTTCATCAAGGGGTTCGCGGTTGTAGCAAGGCCTCTGACAAACCTGCTGCGAAAAGAACAGCCCCTTCATTGTGATGACGAGTGCGACCAGGCCTTCGGGGCCCTGAAGGATGCTCTCGTCACGGCCCCGATTCTGATCCGGCCGGACCCCTTTCGGCAGTTTATTCTCATCACCGATTGGCAGCCGGAGGCTATTTCGGTCATCCTGGCGCAGAAGGGAAACGATGGGAAGGAGCATGTCATTGAGTACGCTTCTCGGACGGTGCCAGACGAGCGACGAAACGATTCCGCGCCACAAGGAGAATGCTATGCGGTAGTGTGGGGTATCCAACACTTCCATCCGTATTTGTACGGTCAGAAGTTTCTGCTCGTCACCGACCATGAACCTCTGTTGGCTCTGAAAAAGCTAACCAACTACACGGGCATGATCGGACAGTGGGCGGTGCGATTGCAAGAATATGAATTCGACATTGTTCATCGAAAAACGCAAAGACACGACAACGCTGGCAGACTGACACGTTTGCACCGACCTGGTAAAGTACCAAAAACGGAAGAGATCATACCGTGAAAGGACCCGAACATCAACAACGGTCCGAAGTACGGAGAAGTTCCGGTTATTCCACGTGGCAAGAAGCCGGTGAAGGGCAATGGGTGACGGAGGTAATGTCCCGATTCCCTCTCTTTCTTCCCCATCCTCTTCTTTCGCCTCCCTTCCTGACAAATTTTGCTATTTCTGCGAGGCAATTTCTTGAGTCTAGTCCGTCCACATGTGTCCAAAAGGGACGGGATATGTTGAATGGGTAGATTGTCGGAAATGTGTCGCACGTGCTCACGGTGCATGCATACAGTATCGGAGTAGTGATAGACCCTGGTTCTGTCCCTTATGTCGCACTGACAAGATTCCGACGGAAGCCCAATTCCTCGATACCACGTCGGAAGGCCCCGACAAAATCCAGAAGTTTAGAAGAGCGGAAGTCTGGACAGATGTCGCCTTGATAGCCACGGTGGTAGGCAACTCCCTCGAAACCTTCTCCAAGGAGGATCGGAGGAGGGCCAATGAAAGAGCACGGGATTACCGATGGGTGGATGGACGGTTAGAGAAGCGTAAAACGGACGGTAGTGGAGCATGGTTAGTAGTTCCGCACCCGTTCATGCGGTACGACTGGGTACGAACCGCCCACGAGGAAACGACGACGCATTTTGCCGTGCGTATTACCGAAGCTGCGATTGACAGAAATCAATGGTACTGGTCCAATATCCGAGATGACGTTAAATTCATCATCCAACACTGCCAGGTCTGCGCTGCTGACAAGGCCCCAACCCAACCGCCTAGGTCGATAGTCCCAACTGTGGTTGAAAGGCTGTTTCAGAGGGTTAGTATGAATACTACAGATATAGTGGTGCCCCCTGGACCGAATAGTTGTGACTGTTCAATTTTTTTTCTGCTGGTTTTCGTCGACCACTTTTCTAAGTGGATCGAGGCCTACCCCTGCAAGTCACGACAAGCCACGGAAATCGCGCGGCACGTCAACCGTTTTCTGGTCATGCACCAGGACACAGAGGAGATCCTGACCGACAATGGGGTCGAATTTAGAGGAGAAGTCGAGAGGAACCTGGTCATACACGGCGTCTCCATACAGCACACGGCCCCGCACATGTCCCAGTCTAACGGATTAGTGAAAAACGCGAATAGGGTGATAAAAACGGCCTTGCGGCGGAATATTGCGGCTCGAGACCCCCGACCCTGGCCTGATATTGTTGACCACATCTTGGCGGTCCATCGCGGAACGCCCCACGAATCGACGGGCCTGAGCCCCTTCCAGCTGCCGACCAATAGTGTCGCGTGTGTATCGATACCTAGCCTCCCAGACGAATCAGGACTTAACCGACGCCCCACAAGGGCCACCGCTCGGGACAAAGCCAAAAGGCACTTGGAACTCATGAAGCGGTCCCTACCTAGACTGGCCCGGAAGCGCCAACGGTCCACCGAATTGGCCCACGGATGACAGGTCCGGAGTTATGAGGCCCGGAATGGGAATGTGGGTCCCAGGACCCAGTATAAGTTAGGGGACATCGTGCAGGTAAGGAAATATGCACGCCAGGGTAAATTAGCGCCTTGATTCTTCGGACAGTATCGGGTGATTGAACTCGGACCCAATGGCGTGGACACCGTGCGCCTCGCTCCCGAGATTTCCGGCAGTCGATCGGCTCGCCCGATCACACGCCACGTGTCCTATCTCCGTCTTCTTCCCTCTGTTCCGTCTCCTTCTCCATCAACCTCTCTCCTTCTCCTTCTCAATCTCTGTCGGATCCGCCGTCACCCTTGCCATCGCCATGGGCTTTATGGAGGAGAGAGCTCTAAGTGAAGAAGCGCTGGTAGCACGGGGGAATTTGACACTGCGGCAGGTGCATCATCCTCGTCTTAGTCCGGACCTTCAACGGGTTGCGCAATTGTTCTGCTCGAGGGGCGTCTACGCGGCAGCAGAGATCCACGTCGACGGGAGGGCTGACGCGATCATATTGGCTGAAGCTGTCAAGTTGCGGCAGCGAACATCTGTAGACGACGGCCGGATAATGGTGGTGGTTAATTTCAGTGGGGATCTCACGGCGATCCCCCCCATCCGACACACGAGAATCAAGGCGATGTTGCTTCTGTGGGCGCACAATCTTCAGAATGAGCGGACCCAGATCCTGGCGCACCAAGGGTACGTGATCGCACCAATCCGAGCGATCGAATACAACGGCTTGCGGCTGGATCGGCGTGACTCGCCGACGCAATTACCCCCTCTCATGAGTTCCTTCCCGATCTCTACTTTCGAGTTTCCTTCTTCCTTCCCCACCTTTTGGCAGTCCGATCTTCATCCCCGCCTCTCCTTCTGCATAGATCTTCTAGTTGTTCACCTCATCGATCCCTCTCAATGGGACGCGTGGCGCGGAGACTTCATCGAACTCTCACTGTGTTTGGTGGAAGTACAGGTGACGTGGACGAGGGACGAGAGCAATTATCCGCGGTCTGAGCGATTGGAGCTCCTTTTGATTCAGGCGTGGCGGACGGAAGTAGAAGGGGACCTTCTCGGTTTTCTATTTGGGGCAGTGCGTCCAGGCTGTCGGAGGCTTCTCACCCAGGAGCTTACGGTCCCAATTGCGCAGCTGGCCGACCATCTTCACGTCAGCATTGTCTCCCAGGTCGACCCGCGCTTGGTGCCCCACGTCACCTCTCGCACGCTGTCGCCGTATCGTAAGTGGTCAGCTTGCGTGGAGGGCTTCCCATCGAGAATTCCGCCTTCACAGTGAGATTATTTGGATCCTCGCGACATCGTGGATCCCGCTTTCTATAGATCGCCGTACGAGGACGAAGTGGAGGAGATAATCCGCGAGGAGCTCACGGAAGAAAGTTCGGAGGAAGAGGAGGAGAATTTGAACGAAGACGAAGGGGAGCCGGCACAGCAACAAGAAGGCGACGAAGATGAGCTCCTGCAAACGGAGAGCGAAGAAGAAGCAGAAGAAGAAGAAGACAACGAGCAGGGGAGCGGTGATGACAACGACGAGGAGCAGGCCAACGAGGATCCCCAACTACAAATTGCGCCGGTTGCTGATCTTCCGATCAGCAACGATCCAACGCTCGACCCGGAGCCACCTCAGCCAGACGACGGCCATGTGGCCCAGGTGGCTGGGCCGTCCGCTCGCCGGCCTCCTTTCCCACCGCGACGCCCACGACGAAGCCGCTCCCCCTCCGCCTCCCTCTCCCTCGCAGCCCGTCCCCCACTTCGAGCACGTCGAGATGAGGCCGATCGGTCTTCGTCCTCGGGCTCTCTCTCTCCACCCCCATGACTTCCTCACCCTGCGCCAGCTCACCCGTCCCGCCGTCTTCCCCCGCGACACTTTCCGTCATTACTTCTCCATCCGTCTCTCTATCACAGTCCATCCCCACTCGTCCTCCCGGCGTGCTTCCGCCGAGTTCCCTCTCCATGTACTTCTCTTCAGCATTGGATGGCGTCGTATTAACGCCGTAGAGGTTTATTGCCTCATCACGAGGTTAATCCCCACATGCGTTGATCGCGATCGCTTTCACACGGCGCTTCTTAGAACCTTCGCCACTCTTTATCCCGACTACCTCGCTTCTCTCCCCACTACTGGTCGCCGATTCCCCCGCTTCCATAGAATCGTCCATCATCGGAGCCTTCCAGAGACGGACGACGAGCTGGAACGCTTCTTCCCGCCTATCCCGACTCATCCCCCATCAACACCTCCGCCTGCCTATCGTCTTCGTTTCCCTCTTCCCCACGAATGACGACAACCAGGATACGACGGCCGCGCAGCATGACTTCCACACTCGTTCGCACGGTATGCGGCAGGAAAGAAGATCAACCATCCATGGCCAATCAATCGAAGATGAGCAACACGTCAGCTAGCAAGCAGGAGCTTGCTTATCTTTGGAACCCCCTGGGCGTCACATATGTGACGAACTAGCTTCTGTAACGCGCGACTTTCGACGCGAAGTGCTAAGCGGGGTCCCACGTCGATTGGACGGGTTGATGGAAAATTGCATGTGTGTCCTTGCCTTTTTGTTGTTTCTTCGTTCTCGCACGAGCCCCTGATGACAGTTGGGGACAATTCAGGAATACCAGGGGAAAAGGGGGCAAAACTTGGTYGGATGCGGAGTGMGCGTCGAGTGCGCGATTAATAAACATTCACRTCTCTTCTTTTCTTTCGTTTCCCTTCTTTTCTTTCGTTTTGTCGAACTCTTGGGCGCGCAGACATCGCGCGGGAATTTCGGAGTCTCTTTTTGAATTTCTTTCTTGAATTTTATTTTCGAATCTTGGTCGGAGCCATACGGTTTTCGGAATTTTGATTTTCTTTTCGGACCTTTTCGGCAGGCTAGCTAGGAATTTAGGAATTTTGGAATTTCTGTTTTTCGGGGGCGCTGCTCTGCATGTTCGCGCGCTCTTTCTTGCTGCTGCGCCGGAACCTTGATTGATTAGCGCCTCAATCCCTTTTTTGCAACTGTAATTTTTGGCGTATACTTTTGTAACTGTATCTTTCTGTTTCTTGCTTCTTCTTCTTCCCGCCTCGTTTCTTCCTCCCCCCCCCCCTTGCCTATATTGGGTAGCCGCGTTTGCATGTTCGGATCGATGCGTGGAGTGGGTACGTCCCCCACGCCGCGGCCCGACCATGCAAATGAAGGCACTCCCTCTCCCCCATCTATCTACGTCCTTGTAATTCTGTGTTCTTCGCGCATGCATGCACGCTATAAATTCCGGCTGCGCGATTAACTTGCTCTCTTAACAGTTGCTGGAAGCTCGGGGTTGCGTGATCGAGAGGGTCGGCACACGAGCGAAGTCAGAGGTGAGTGAAGTGGGAGTCGGGCGACCCGACGAGCTGGTGCTGAATGCGCGGGGTTGACGCGGGCCGTGACGGACTGTGGGCGCGGAGCGAACCTGACGGGTGCAGGAGGACTAAGCGGGGTGACGGCTTCGTGTGTTGGTGCGCGACGACGGACTGTCAGCATCAGAAAGAGAGAGGAGAGAGAGTTGAGATTGAGGATGGACATGGATTTGCGCTTTTCTTTTCGTTCCCTTTTTTATCTGTGTATATAAGTTTTGGTGTCAGTCACAGGCAATTCGCCCTTGTCTTTGCGGCCATATGCTCGTCCTGTTGTCCGATTTGGTTTTGTTCTTCTTTTCATCGAAGATTTCTCCTTTTTCTTTCCTTCCCCGGAATCCTCTTTTGCAAATAACGTATGGATGGTTCGCGCACCCTCGCCTTTCGTTTTTTATCGTTTCCTTCGAACCCTCGTACATGATGAGTGAAAATGGGGATTGCATGCTGGCGTGATCAATACAGTGTGTTGGCTTATTGTATCTTACGGATAGTCTGAAGCGCACCATCCGACGTGCGATAGGGACACATGCAAGTCCGATCCGGACGGAGCGCGTCTTACACGTGCCCCTACCATCGCCAATCACGTCTTAACTAATGCGCGTAGCCAACCCTTCACTGAAGAAGGAATTGATGTCGATCGGGATCGGGTTACCCATCGCGCGTAAGTGCGCGTAAGTGCGCGTAAGTGCGACTCGTTCGCATCTCTCTTACGCACTTACAAGCGGTGATCTCCCTGATTAACTTATCCCCCCCCCCCAAGACGTGAGTGATGAAAGAATGACGAGCTCGCGGAGTTCCGACGTATCTTGGAATTCCGAGGATTACAAGTCGTATTTCGGGCACCGAGAAATCTGGGAAGAAAAACAACTCCGATTACGGGAAAATTTGAGGAACCCGGTATCCCCCTGCCTCACAGAAAACGATAGATTCTGCGCGAGGGAATTCCATCTCGCCGTACGAAGCGACCCGCGGGGACCCGACTACCCAAACACGTACAACACGCAGTATTTCATAACTCCCGGCTTCGTCCTTGTCGCCACTAGTTTCCCGCCATACCACCTCCTCCTCCCCTATCATCAGCTTACAGTAGTACCGTGGAATTCCATAGCACCTTATTGGCCCTCCACCCCATGCCGAAGCTGCAAGCGGCGTGTGCATACCCGAACCCCCGAAGCCTCGGCACCTAGGCTTAGTTCCCACCAACCCACACCACGTGGCGGGCTCCGCAGGTGTGAGCCCCAAAGACCGCCCCGACAGGCTCCCCAGAACCGGCGATCGCGTCAGGATCGGACGGCCCCGCACAACCAACGTGCAAGCCCGCGCCTGTAAATTTTCCCATTGCTCTATTGCATCTATGCCCCTAAACCTTGCCACCGGATATCTCAGTTCCGACCTGGGACTCCACCCCCATTTTCCAAAAATCCTTGGCACACCCCTTTTGCACTTCCAGGCCCACACCCTACTCCGATCAGGAAGTCGCGCCGGGCGTGAGGTTAGGTCGTCACAGTGCTCCTATGGCCTCCCACGACGAAGATATCGGCACTCCAGCATCCGTCATGTCCTCTATTTCCCACACGCGGACAGGTAATTGGTCTTGTTGTTGGCCGGGTGTTTGTCTATACCATGAGTCCTTGTGCAACACAACACCAGTTTGCAGGACATGAACCCAATGTAAGGGTGTAGCTTCACACAAGGCTGCGAGATGGACAGCTTGTTGTCTAAGGCCTGAGAGTTTATGAGACATCTGGTACGAACTTCTCCAGTGGCTTGATTCCAAATCCCAAATATCAAACACAGTCCCCACCCCTTTGGACAACCAAGAATCACCAAACGCTCCCAAGCCAAAGCAAGCGAATGGCAGACCGTTCTCTGCTAAGATCATGTGGTTCTCAAAGAGCGGCTGAGTGAGAATGCGTTCCATGATCATCTGAGGTGGGAGTAACGACGGGACACAGCCCCGCCATGCCCGCAGTATACCATTCCACACTCCATCCGACAATTTCTTCCTTAGATATGATGCAAAAAATACCGCTAACCACACACAACGATCCTCCTTCCATTTCCAAGCTTTAAGCAAGAAGAGGTCTGCTAACTGCCGCCACAGACGGGACGTTCCAAACAGCAGAGCCAAGGGCACCCATCTAACCAACAGGGCGGCTATTTGACGCTCCGGATCCATAACAGACGGCCCCCCCAGTCTTTTAGGTGGTGTGACTGTCGCCCAAGCGACTTTGACCAAAAAGACATTATCATTGTCTTCCTCTTTCCAGAGGTAGTGGGCCAGTGTGCGTCTCACAGTCTGCAGCACCGGCTGATCCAATTGGAACAGTGCTCTGTTATACTAGATAGTAGATAAAACAGAATTACTTATCACTGTTGCCCTACCCATCAAGCTGACTCCCTTATGTTTAACCCAGGGGGTTAGAGCTTTGTGGACCAAGGCAAGGACTTGAGTAGAGTCTGTGATCAAATCCGGGTTGAAAGATATACTGTGGCCCAGCAATCTATCATGCTGATTTGGCATCACTAATCTCATACCCCAGTGTTGCGGAGGTTGTATGTCTGGAGGGATGAGTGTCGACGATTTGGTCCAATGAACAGCTGCCTGAGAGATCGAACAAAACTGTTCCACTGAATACTGTAACGCTTGGAAGGCTTCGTCTGTAGGCGGTATGACTGCTACAGCATCATCCGCAAACGCTTCGGACTTGAATCTAAGGCCAGAGGGTAACACAATCCCCGACATGTCCGCGCTCTGTCTGATAAGAGTATGCAGCACTTCCACATACAAAATATACAAGTACGGTGCCAAGGGGCAACCTTGTCTGACAGAACGTTGGAGCGGGATCGGTGGGGACAGCGAACCGTTGACGCAAACGGTAGACACACTGTTGTTACACAGCGATGCGACCCCTCTTTTAAATCTAGGCCCAAAACCGAACTGTGTGAGTGTAGCCTGAAGGAACTCCCAACCAACTTTATCGTACGCTTTCTCCAAGTCCAACAATATAATCGCGTATTTTGCTTCCGCTGACAACACCAGTTCCACTATCTCTTCGACCATCATAACGTTACGTAAGATTTGTCTATCACTCAAGAACCCCGTTTGGGAGGGGTGAATGAGGTGAGGCAGAACCTTTTGAAGTCTAAAGGCCATAATTTTTGCGAAGAGTTTATACACGGATGGCATCAAAGTAATCGGTATATAATTACGCACGTCCGCTGCATCACCTTTTTTAAACAGTAATGAAATAACGCCAGTCAACATTTATGAGGGTGGGGGCGCCCCATTCCATATAGCCTGGAACGTTATCAACAGCAAGGGGGCCAGAGAATCTGCATATTTCCGAAAAAAGTATCCCGGCATTCCATCTACCCCGGGGACTTTATGTCGGGGCATCGCCCGACATACCCTCACAACTTCAAACAAGGTTATGTCCGCCTCCAAGGACTGAACTTGATAGGGGGTAAGTGATC